GAGCACAACTATGTATACGAGTAGAGCAGTAGTCTGGCCAAGAAATAAGCTGAAATGAAATAAAAATTGGACTCGTAACATTCTCGTCAGACGCGAAACGTCTCGCGAAACGATTGAATGCATTCGTTTGGTCTGCTGGCCGGTGCATTGGACATTGAACCACTTTCGGGCCACGATCAACTCGCACCAGCAAGCAACTGACCAACAAACCAAATGACCTCAACGTGCTTACATTATCGTGACATTCACACACACTCACACACATATAAACAAATAAATTACATACATAACATAACATATCGTATTTATACTCGTATATGTTTTCCAGTGTGGACGACAAATCTATAACTAGTCTAATACTTGCGTAATCAATACAGACAACAGCTCTTTCTAAGCAATTCTTTTGTTTTGTCAGAATTCACAATACGCGTAAACAATAGACCACTACGATCATTGATTAGTTGACGCCGATCGCGCCCAGCATTAACTTCTGAACTACGCAGTTCATATTCATGAGAAACCCGACTATGATTCGGGGTTTACTCGCAGCTCGCAAGATCATTATCAGCTTTAGAAGCACTTCCTGTTGCCATCAATATTTCCAGTTCGTTTCGGTGGGCTTGTCAAAAACTTGTAAATTATATTGCGACTTTATATCTAAGTCAAACGATCAATCGAGCAGCGCCACTTATATCTAATTTGATACAGAATTTTCTCAAAATAAGTGGTTTTATGTAAATACAAATATTTCCAGTTAGTATTTATTGATTTACAAAGAGTTTTTTGATAGAAAATTCAAGAAATTTATGCGTTCTTCAAAAGCAGGAATTTTGGAATGAATTTTGTTAATTTTTTGTGAAAATGTCGATATTCATTTTGTGATTTATTTGAGAAACTTAATGAAAAGTGAAATAAAATATAAAAATATATTATATTAATATAGAAATATATATGTATTATTAATATATACATTATATTATTTATATTAATATACAATATCAATATTGATATATACAATGAATATTAACTTTTCCATTTTAAGGGTAAGAAAGTGGTTTATCCAGTGGCTAATCCATATGCTTCTGGTAAAAGTTCAAGCCAAAAGTTCATTGCCAATAAATAAAAGTACAAAAATAAATTCTTTTTTGATTTTATAGCAAGTATTTTTTATTATGCTTGACATTAAGATTCAATATAATATTCACCTTTCCATTTTCAGTGGTTTTTCTATTGATTCTGAATTTCTTTGACGATTGCCAACATTCTTACTTATAAAACGAAAATTCAACTGGGTTTATTTTATATTTTGATTCCAAGTAACTATTTTCATCTGAGAGGTATTCCATATACTTCTAGTAAATTGCCAATAAATTAAAGTACAAAAGTAAATTCTTTTTTCTATTTATAGCAACTATTTCTTATTGTTATTATCCCTTAAGATGGCAACATAAATCCGCTTTCAGCTAAGCGTCATCAATCAAAGCTTTCTTTGTACTCCCCTTCCCTGTTTATATAGTATAGCTTCCACCCATCGTTCCCTTTTCAGTCTCAATTCGGCAATGAAGATTTTGTAATCTTTCAGGCATTTTAATGAACACTTTTCACAATATTCGATCACATGGCACGCCATTAAGTGCATCAGTAAGTGCAACTGCAACTGCACCTTCAGTGGCGCTGAGGAGGAGGTGGCAGCAACAGCGGGGCGCTTAAATTGGTGCTTGGTGTTATGTTTTTGGCACTTGGGCAGACCAGACACTTGGCAGAAGCAAAGCGCACAATGTTTCAATCGACGACAGCACAGTTGCCACATCGTCGCACATTTTCCCAGACGAGCACAGTGACCCAATAACAGGGTTTAGGCGGCATGGCACGGCATTGCAGCTGCTACTGCTGCTGCTGCTGCTGCTGGTGCTGCTACTGTTGCCATGCCATGCCACTCAATCATTCAATCAAACACAGGCACTTCGCTTGTCTCTTTGGGGTTAGTTGTTGGTCCAGTCAATCATGCGCCACATTTGACACAACATTCGAGCCAACAACATTGTCGGCAATTAGTCCAATTTTTTTCTTCTTACTTTTCTGCTGGTTGTTTTTGTTGGCTCTGGCTGCCTGTACTAAAATTAAATATTGCGAAAATTCTTTCAGCGGCACGAAGCACGAAGCAAACATGTGTTCGTCGCTGTATAAAATGCAAAATGAAAAAAATCGTAATAAATGCAAACGGCAAATGCTACTACTTTGTAGACAAAATAGAAATATTTGAAAAATCTTTAATTTTCATGTGGAGCACAAACACACACAGACGGGTCGGGCAATTATTGGCGAGTACTGGCATTTTGGTGCTGGCTGGTTAATACAAGTAGTTGCGATCGTTGCATTTTTCTCGTGCCACGGGGCGTATGAGTGTTGCCGTTTATGTGCGAACGTTCCTAATGGCTGGTCTTTGGTGTGTGTTATTTTTTTTAAAGAAAAGCCACACACTCGCTGTTGTTGTGTTATTTGTGTTGGCAATTGTAAATGAGAGTTTTTAGCGAATCACATTATTTGCACGATCGCAGCATCGGCATTCTCAGCAGTGGCTGCAGTTTGCGGCTGCAGCGCACTAATCAAAAGACTTAAGCCGCAAACTTCTTGCCCAATAAGTTGTTGGTGTTTGAATTCTATAGCGTTCAGTTACAGCCTCGCTTTACGCTGCGTCAACAATTACATACATCCGTGCACTCTAATTACAAGCCAAAGTTATCAAGCGTATGCGGTAAATACGTGACATAGTTTCTCAACCGGGTTAGCTGGAAAATACTTACAATTATTGTAAATGAAAGTTGTTTCAAATGCTCCAAAGAAATAGCGGAAAGTCTTACCATGAAATACCAAAAAACTTTTCGCAATGAAACAAAAAACTAAACGTTTAACGTGTTTGTTTGTTTTGATTTATCCTTGTGTTTTAATTTCAAGTTATTGTTAAATAATTGAAATTAAATCATGAGCGTCTTGTCTTCTACGCGTTTAGGCAGCATATCGTAGCTTCATAAGGGAGTGTACTTCATAGCTGGTGTATCTTAAATTATTAATTAGAATTTATCTATTAATTAACCATTTGGAAAAACGTTGGCAATTCTGAGAACAAACCTTTTATTTATGCATGTTTTAAATTACAAATTTTTGAATAAACTTCAAAGGGAAATTAGTTGTGAGAGCATTTTTAATTTATTAACTTGAAGCATAAAATACGTTTAACCTACACCTAATATCATTTTTTCCTTCTTTTTTCAAAGACATTGAACCTTTCAGCTAGTCAACAACATCATAACATCATCCTCATACCCGAAATTAAATTATTTGTTGGCCATTTAAACGACTTATTAGCATTAAAACATGCTTAAAATAGCAAATCCAAGCAAACAAGCAAAATCTAAAAAAAATCCCCCTTTCGATTCTGCATTAATGCCTGTGCTAAGAGATATTGCATAATTATTTATACACACCTTTCGATGATGCGGCAAAACTCATCCCAGCTTACGAGTATAATGACTGTATTGGCCTCCAAGACTAACACAATCTACAGATTCCCTGCTCTGCACAACCTTGTGCTTCAACCGTTTGGTACCTTCTTCTACAAATAGTCTATTATTATAATTAATGATATATCTCTGCTACGTATTTAGTCTGAAGTGGAAAAAAGGCCCCGAGGAGACAAAGCGTAGCGAGCCACAAATATGAAGTGAAAATAAAAGTGTAATTACAATTGTGGCCGCCAATGTTGCCGCTTGAGTGCGCGAATTTTTAAACGACGTCAATAAAAACAAATCACACAAATAAATGCGAGTAAATAAGCAGCCAAGACTGCAATTGCAAGCCATGATTGCCAAATCTGCCACATCTACATGATTTCTCTGCAATTTTTGTTGGCTGTAAGTGGCGCGACGGCCATAATTAGCAAGAATGTGACCTTGTGGGTTGCACGAATCAGACTGAAGTGAGAATATGACAATATTTTGTTCAAATAATGGTCAGGAGGAGCATTGGCCAATTACTCGTATATTTAATTCTTCTAATATACGTCTTTACTGAAGAAACTCATTTCATTTTGTAGTTGTTATATGAATAGTATTTATTTATTTCTTTATGTTAGTTGCTATACATGGATTATAATATAATGACTAATGACAAATTTGGAGTGCTAACTACATCAATTTTCAATTATAAATATTTACAATTTATGAAAAATATTACAGTTGATAAGAAATTTTATAAGTTCTTTGCTGTTTTGGTTTGTAGTTTTCAGCCTGGTATGAATAGTATTTAAAAGAGTTATTTATTTATAGAAGTTAGTTAGGAAGGTGGTGGAATGTGTTGATGCGGAATAAATGTAGACAGCCTTAATGTTCCTGGATGGATTTGTAATCAAAGGAAATGATATTGGGCCAAGCAGATTGGCATATAATTTAGGAGGTATTTTCCTTAACGTGTAAATGTCGAGCTTGGCTAAAATGTTCACCTTCAAAGTCAGACCTTCTAGGCCAATTGAAGTTGTAGTTGTTTAAGAATATCTTCAATGTTCGTCCTGATAATTTTGGACCAAAACACAGCTTTGTTTCCATTTTAAATGGATTTATATTTTGCGAAAGTATTCCTGAGTTATTTACCAAGCCCTCGTGAGAATATTTGATAGCAGTACTTTTTGTTGTCCTTCTAGATATGTCCGTTTGTTTAAATGAACGCAAGGATCTTCAAAAATAAGGGAGCCACAAAATTACCATATAGAGGAGAAAACATCTTCCACAAATAATTGTTGATCAGTATGAATCGATTCATCCTTTTGAAGGAACGCAAGAGTCTTAGAAAATAGGGGAATTCGAGCTAAAATCAGGAAAACTTGTTTCACATGCTCTTCAAAGTCAAAAAAGTGTTTTCTTCTATCGATTAATACTAAGTATTATCTGTAGCAACAATAATGATATTAATAGTACTAATTATAATAAAATATGTCATATTTCCAGATACTTTTTTTCTACTGTGCTACAATTCCAAATCTATCGCGGCATGTGTCGCGATTCCGGCCAATATGTGCCGAATGATCCGCGCAAGCCACTTCACAAATGCGACATCTATCGGCAACCGGCGGCTGGCAATTTGCTCAAGTAAGTAGAGAAGCTCTGCTCAATAGTTTGTTAGAGTTTCCCCCATTTCAACTGCCTTCATGTGCCACACAGACAACTTATGGCCAAGGGCGCCTCGCAACCCTGGCAGGAGGTGCTGGAGGAAACGTTTAGAGAGGGTCGTCTGGATGGCACCGCTTTGCGTGAATATTTTGCACCCCTGGAGGAGTGGCTGCGGCTCGAGAACTTGCGAACGAATGAGTATGTGGGCTGGAACTATGATGGCGACTATTGCAAGCGGAGCATCGAGACAGCTGGCCTGCAAGTGTTTGGTGGCTACTATAACGGTGCTGGCAAGCACTTGGTGCACGCTTTATTGCCTCTAATAGGTTTATGGCTGTCACTGTTAGCTTTTAATTGAGAGTCTTAACGATAACTAATTACATTATTTAGCCCATAAACCATTTGTGCATTACTTTCTTAATTACAAATTGTCAATTTTCTGACTTTCATTTTATTATTACTTTCTTATACTTGTATACAAATTTTAAATTTTCTATACAAAGTTAATTTAAAAAATCAATTATTTTTTTTACACAATTTGATTTGTTTAATTGAGCAAATGACTACAATTTAAATACCAATTTGAAAAACTGCTTGGCTGCTTAAAGATATTTAAATAAGTTTAATTTAAAGCATGTTATTTGAGAAGTTAAGCAATTAATCGGCGCTTCGTAAAGTTCTGTGAGAGAAGAGTAAAGCAGCTTAGTTTTCAATCGACATAAATGACGATTGTCGTTAAATTAAGCATATATTTGTGAATAAAATTAAAAACCGGTCTAGTAATTGATCTAATATTGAGTTTCTAAATTCTCGAATCTAGCTATCGAGCTATTTATACATTTTAAGTGTTGCAATGTTTTTTTATATTATTATTTTTTCTCATTGGTTTTCTACTCATTCCACTTCCGCACATTCAAGTTGCTGGCTTATTTGAACTTGAGGCAATGCCAAAAATAAAATTAATTAAAAAATAAAATAAAATAAAATGTAAAACAAACACACAATTTACAAACAAATTGTGAGCTGCACCCTACAAACTGCAACTCAATAGTATGTATGTTTAAATGAGAAAATCAAATAAAAACCCGTTTAAATGTGCAGCAGGTTGTTGCTTTTTGTTTATTTGTATATTCGTACGCCTATATCATGTATGTATATATGATATATATACATGTATATGTGTGTTCGAGCTGATGCGGGTCATTGGAACGCAGGCGTCGCACGCACAAGTTGTTTTTGTTGCTGTCGTAGCCTGCTTAATGCAACAAATTTACAATTTAATCAAATAAAAATAATAAAAACAATAACAAAGCCAAAGCCAAGCTGTTCAAGTACATACATACGAGTATATACATATATACATAAATTTTGTATATTTGTCAGACGACAATATTGTTGTTGCGCATCCAGCTGCTGTTGCTGTTGCAGTTGCAACTTCATGTGTTTGTTCAACGGGTTTTTCGCCTTTGTTTTGTAAATTGAATTTAATAAATTGAGGCAGGCATAAACAAGACAATCAACACACTTGTGGGGCGTGGCCGTTAGTGACTGTGATTACTTATAATCCACTAGAAGTGGCAACGGCAGCGGCAACAGTTGCAACAGTAGCAACAACAAGTCAGTGTCATTGTTCTAAAGCCAGTTCTAAGAAATGAGATACACTTGGCTTTACTTTAACGAGTTGAATGGGTTTTGATGTGTGTCTGCAAAAGCAGCAGCGTCATTTGCATTTGTTTACATGAAATTAAGTTAAATAAAGGTGGCGGTGTGAATGTTAAATAAAAGCAAGAGAATTACTCTGGCTCTAAAAGATTGAACAAAATTAGGTGTACATGAGTGGAAAGAATGAGGCGTATACTTACTTATAACTGAAAATGAGCTGAGAAGTTATCTCCACCCTTCTCTGTTCCTTACCAAGCAAACAATATTTCTCATACATAGCATGTTCTCTATTCATTAAAAAGAAGCGTTAAAGCGATTTATTTCAATCTTATATAAGTTAGTCTGCCTTGGCAGGCTAGAATCAGGGAAGAATGAAACTAAAGCTTATTCTTATTAAAGATTTTTTTACATAAATCAATCATAAATTCAAGACAAGTAATTGACAAAGAGAAAGGCAGTAAAATTTGTTGTACTTCTTGTAGCAACAAAAGTCTAAAATTCCACTATAATTTATTAACAATTTATGCAAATTTCGTATGAACTTTTTTGATAAACCTCTTTGACCTTTTTTAAGAACTTTTCGAATTTATTTTTGAGTTGCTAAGCAAAAGTATTGTTGCAATAACTAGATTTGCAGTGCATCTCTGTTCAATCAAAGCTATAACAATATAGAAAAGGGCCATAATAATATAAATAAAGGTATATTTGATTAATTTATTATGTCAATTTGGGCAACATTTTTCCACACATAAGATAAACAAATATGAGTTTCAGGCTAAGCCTACAAAATTGCATTTAATTTCTTTGCTCCCTCTTTCTTTTGCAATCCACAATGCACAGACAGTTGTGATGGACCGCCAGCATTGGCGAACAGCCCCCAAACCGTTAATCACTTTATTATGCACTCCACTAATTTATGCATTCTCCCACGTTTCGTCAGATTGTCGTCGTTCTGAGCTGCATTGCGTTGAGCCGAGGTTTGAGCAAAAAAAATCAAATAAAATGAATAAAAAGCGCAAGCGGCAACAAAAAGCAGGTTTGCCTACAATGACAGCTACGACAACAACAACAAGAACAACAACAACTGGCAACGTTAAGGACATTATCAACATTTCAATTATGTGCAATCATCGCCGACTAAATCGAACGACGCGCTTGGAGCGCAAAATGGGCGACAAAGCGACAGTTTTGAGTGACTGAGAACAACTCATTTATTTACATTGGAGACTTATCATGTGTGTGTGTGTGTGCGTGTGTGTGTGTGGCATTTCACTTTCATTGTAGAATCAGTTGTTCAGTGCGTATTTCCGCCCACGGTTGCCTCGCCGCCCGATCGACCATCGCTGTTCTCCACAAATGTGGCAGTCGCCGCCGTTGTCGCCAATTTGCAATGAAACTCAGATTTGTTTATTTTATTTTGTTCACTTTTGGAGGAGGAAGAGAACTGAGTTATAGAATCACAGAGTAGTATGAACAGTTTTAACGGGAGTCGCGTTGAAAGCGCACAAACAAGCGGCATCGAGCGGACGAAATCGGGAAACGCTGTTCAAGTCGATTTGTGAACTATTAATCGTATTAGAGAAGTGTAGTGAAGTGACTACGTAAATAAATAATTAAATTTAAGTTAAAAAGTGTGATCATCAGAATATTTATAGAGAAAGACGTGGTAACTCCAATTAAAATTTGAAACTGTGGGTTATAGTTGATGTTAAAATATTGAGCACATTAAATACATGTCTGCAATAATTTTCCGTTTTTTTTTTAAATGAAACCACCAACAACGTTTAAGTTTTAATTTTTTAAATTTAAAAATGGCAATAGGGATTGAATTAGAAAATAGTGGCTCTAGAATTTAGATTTGATTGGCAACCTCATTATCTGCTTTATTAAAAAGTTAACAACTCATATGTTTTATTTTAAATTTAAAAATGAAATTAGAAAAGAGTGCCTCTAGAATTTAGATTTGATTGGCAACCTCATTATCTGTTTTATTAAAAAGTAAACAGCTAACAACGTTTTATTTTAAATGTTAAATTTAAAAATGAAATTAGAAAATAGTGCCTCTACAATTTAGATTTGATTGGCAACCTCATCATCTGCTTTATTAAAAAGAAAACAAGTTAAAACGTTTTATTTTAAATTTAAAAATGAAATTAGAAAATAGTGCCTCTACAATTTAGATTTGATTGGCAACCTCATCACAACCTGCTGTACTGGCTAGTTTTTGCAATTGACTAAAGAGTTTTTTTTTCGAATAGAATCTGCATTATAAAATAAAACATTTAAAAAAGTCGGTGGCCAAGAAACTTTTAAATGTTTAGCTTAACTAGGGTCAGTTAATAACCAAGTTTAAACAAGTAAAGAATGCAAGGACTCCAAGATCTGCTAAAAAAGAAAACTGATTGCATTTAACGAAAAAAACAAAATCTCTTTAAGACTGCAACAGCATTTTATTTAATTACCTGCAAAAACTACTTATTCAGTTTAAGCTTATTTTTCCCAATTCCAGACCTAGATTGATTACAAAAATGTATGCAGGGAACTCATTTAAAATATAATATTCAGTTGACTTAGTTTGGATGTCACAGCTGCATCGCAAAGCAAATGCAAGTTTTCCAAAAATATTTCTTAAGATTTCTTAGAATTTTGTTGCAGATTCTCTGAATTGTAAAACTACTTGTATAGCTGTTAAAACAATTCTTTCAGTGAACGAAGCTTTCTAAAAAAATATTTGAATTGGGACAAAATTTCTGCAATCATTTGATTTTTTCTATTTTAAAAAGATGAGAATTTAAAGCAACAGATTTGAATTTATATTTTTTATAGTTTTTATATTTGAATTGTGACAAAATCTTTGCTAACTTTTCTATTTTAAAATGATGGAGTTTTGATTTAGATTTTAATTTATATTTGTTATAGTTTTTATATTTGATTGTAACAAAATCTTTACAAATATATGTATTTTTATATTTGAAAAAGATGGAGTGTTGCTTTAGATTTAAATTTATATTTTTTTATATTTCGCGTTAATCTTTATTATTTACAATTAGTAATTATCTGAACCAAAATAAATTAAACTAAAATAGAAAGCAACAATCATAAGAAATGAGCCATAAAATAAATCAGTTTGTGAGCTAAAGTGTTAAATGTTAATTAAAAATTATACCAAATACAAAATGGACAAAATGCTAGTGGCATTAAAGCAACTACTGCTAATCCACGGGCTCCTCTCGGTGGTGAAAGGAGAGAACAGCAGTCTGCGGATAAACACAAATTTGAAGGCATTCGAGCCACTGCCCATGGTCTCGGGCAGCGCGGGTGCGGCGGGGCTGGCCATGGAGGCCAACATATGCACACGCGAGGAGCACTATGTGGAGCATGTGCCAGTGCCCGAGATGCAGCCCGTGCGGGTTCGCACGTCCAGCTGGTGTCTGGAGATACCGCCACGCTGTGCCACATACAAGACGGAAATGCGCGAGGTGATGAAGGTGCAGGTGAGTGGAGTGGAATGGAGTGGAGTGGAGTGGTGGAGACACTGCCGGTAATGCCATTAATGGGGGCGGACTGGCTGTTACATCACTACCCGCTCATGATCAACATTGTCAGCGTAATAGTCATCATCCTGGCAACACCTTCGCCAACGCCAATGAACGCATTCAGGTTATTTGTCGTTTTAGTGGCCACTTTCGCTAAGCGTTTGGCGTTTGGCGATTCGATCCACAAACCTGAATTCGCATTCATGTCCCATGTGGCCAAGCAGGAAGTCAATAGATCGCTATGATATATATTGCGCATTATTTAGTCAGTTGGCCTAAATCGATGCCAAGTTTCGATTGTGCACGTATTGGCCATATTTTATGCATAGTTTATGGGTTCTGTCAATGGAAAACAAAGCCAAATATTACTGTCATTGCGCAATAGACGCCACTTCCTTTGCAGCTTTGCCACAGAACGGAAACGCTCACTTCAGACTGCCTCTCTTCTAAGTGTTTGTGCACCTGTGCACGATTTTGACTTTCAAGGCGGAAAACTATGATAAATGCGACATCGAGCGTTACCGGTTTTGACCCATGCGAGCCACAGATCGCAAACAGACCGCCGACAGACAGACAGCAGACACAAATACATGCTAGTCAAGGTTTTCTTACAGGGGCTGCCTTTTTGCATTTCGCGTCCTTGATGGCTGTCAAACTTCTATGAACTTTGTTAACCCGATAATGCCGATATGCAATTTTGACTCCAATAACAAATTATTAATTAATTAACTTATCAATCAATATTATATTAATTAGAACATATTAATTAGTGTAGAATTCCCATGAAGATCGATTTGAAGTCGTATGCAGCATTCATAAAAGATTCAACAAAGTTATAAAAATAATGCAAAATTTGGGAATCCATTACCATTTCCACTTTCACTTTCCATAACTATATATATACCTGTATTCCTATTTATTATTTGATGCTACGACTTGCATTTTTTACGGTTTTGAAAAGAAACAAATGCAACTCATCGCTGCAGTTTCCCAAGTCAATCGTTTGATTTTATGTGCTTCTGTGTCTTACTTGATGTTTATAGATTTTTTATCGATTTGGAATTATAATTTATTACTATTTTTTCATTGGAATGTCATATTATCATATCTTGGAAAATATTAATTAATTAAATAATTATAAATTATAATAATTTATGTCATTATTTCTTCTTCAAATATACATTTGCGCAGTGAAAGTTGTAGTCTTAAATAGTTGTAGAGTTTCGGGAAAAATGCTAAATTTATTCTTATTGATGATCTTAAAGTTAAATTAGAAACGGGCAGCCATGGGCGAGCATCTCATTTAGAGCAAGGCTCTATTTTATTAGATATGACACGGCAATGAAGATGGTAACAAAATTTGGCAACAAAGATCTTACGATGGAGTTCTGCTGTCTCTTCAATATCCATCCACTATCGCAATTTTAATTATGAAAAAATGATGGATATACTCGTATGTAGGGAAAGTATTTAACCGCAACACCAAACACGCTTAGAGACATAGGACTTAATTAAGAGCTGCAAATAAAAATTTAATAAAAGCTACTAAAAGCTAGCTCAAAAGATCTTCTTGTTTAATGACATTAAGATGTTCAGTGTTCAATCATTTCCTTCGCCCACTAAAAAGAGAAATTAATTTATTCGAAACAGAAACTGTCTTGAAAATAACGGAGATTGGCAAGTGAATTCTCTGAAATTACTCATAATAAAAAATAGTTATTGATTAAGAGCTAGTAGTCCCTTTTTTGCTGACATGATTTAAGTTTTATTTAAAATTAAATAATTACCTATCTCAGTTCTGGTTGTATTTAGAAACTACACTTAAAGCATTTTTACTTTATAAATAGAAGCAAAACAACTCAAGATTGTTTGAAATCAAAGATAGTGGGGGTTAAGCTGCTATTGGGAATCAAAATGCAATTGTTTTAGGCAGTGCTTAGTTTTTATTGTTTTTGAATTCACACAAGTAGAGCTTATTAAAATAAGTACAACATTGTCTATGTGCTAGCTGATTAACAATTCCTAGTTTATTTATTTGTTTTCCTATTTAATTTAATTAATAATTAATTTATAATTTAATTTATCTTATTTAGCAGCAGGACTAAAATACATTTTGAACAACTGACAGGCTTTCTTTAGTTTTAGGCTTAAACTTTCCTCCAAATCATGAAAAACTCTAGAGTATTTATCTAAACAGCTGCAAGCTAGTTTGGTTCAACACTATCGCTGACATTAGAGGGTTAAGTGCAGGCATTGTGCACCACACGGCGCATACGTAACGCGTTTATTTACTATTTTTGTAATTTGTTCGCAATATAAAAAGCAGTTGAGGAAAAAGTGCGTGTGTGGACAAAAAACAGCAACACGAATAAGAAGCCATTTATGGCCAGAATCCGGCTCAGCCAGTTTTGCATTAAGCATTAAGAAAAATTAATTATGTCATGGTGTCAGAGCGATGGAAAGTGCACACGAAAAGCGGAAAATGCTGCAGCGTGCTGCGAAAATTAGGCGCATTGAAAATAATCCATTCCGAGGCTGTTTCTAGTTTTTCCCTCTTGATGCTGTTGTTGCTGCTGTTGTTGTTGTTATTAGTGCCGAGGCTGTTGACATACATTTGATTGCATCATCGGCTTCAGCCTCGTCGTTATAGTAGTTGTTGGCGTCCGACTAGGAGCCGGCGAGCTTTGGTTTAGTTTTTGGCCGCAAGTCTGATTCTGTATATATGTTTATGTGTGTCTGTTGACGGCTGCAAATTAATTTCATAATTAATTTAATTGGACCTGAAATACTTGTGCTGAGGTGCCAAACTTATCCGGTTAATTGCAATGTTTATGCGAGTGCTACAAAGCTTCAAAATAGTTCGCAATTGTGGCAGGTGTGTGTAAATGCTTGCATATTTTTAAAGCTCGAACTAGGCTCACTCATACGATTAGATTTTAACTATTGAGATAATGAGACAAAAACAAATCCTTGCAAAAAAATGCATAGAAAGGAAAGATTGCAGCTGAAATTAACTAATTTACTTATTTAAATACTTAATGCCTCTTTCTACCAGAGTCTTTGCACTAAACTCAATATTGTTGCAGGTTTTTAGAATTCTATATTCGGTTACTTTATTTATTTATTTATTTAGTAAATCAACAAGTAGTTCTGTCGATACATTCTATTATAATTATTTCAAAATATATTAAAATATAAAAATTAAAATGAAGATATGATTTATATATACTTGTAATTACAATATCTTTACAATCAAAAAATGTTTTCGTATATGATGAATACAAAGATTTTAAATTCTGAAAAACATATTTTTTTCGATGGGTCCTATGGCAGTTATTTAACATAGTAAAGCTATATATTCTGTAACACAAATCCATCTACCAATTCATTATTCAATGTTCTCTGTATTGATAGAGACAAACAAGCAAATGTCTCTATTCATTGTGTATATTTATTTAAATATTAGATGGGGCCTAAGAATATAAAGTAAATTGTTGGTATTACATTTCTTTAAGGAATTATTATAATTATTTATTTATTTATTATTAAACGAATTAATATTATTATATATTATGCATTTTGAAATTTACATTTTTAATTGATTTTCTTTTTTTTCTTTTATGTATATTTAAATGAGTATTTACAATTTTATGCTTTGTCAGAAATAAATTAATAAATGATATATAAATAATTATTAGTAAATTATTTGCTTTTATAGTTTCTCTAGTTCTAGGTCTCTATTATTTATTTTTAAATCGAAAACTTTGTCTATAAAATAAATAAAATAAATACAAAAATAAAATAAATAAAATAAGTAAAATTAAAAAAATAAATAAATAAATAAATAAAATAAATAAATAAATAAATAAAATAAAATATATAAAATAAATAAAATAAACAAAATTAAAAAAATAAATGAAATACAAATAAAAAATGTGTAACACACTGTAGGCTGTTGCTCCATAGAGGAATATTGAATTCAATACTGTCAGCAGTCTCAGTTTCAGTTTCAGGTCTTGTACAAATAGTGTCTAACCAATTGCAAAGTTAATTACTCGTAGCACCACGCCATAATAGCTCTGATGACTTAACTTGGCAGATGTTTGCAGACACACTTATGGTTTAGTGTTTAGATTTGAGTAAGGCATTCAACTTAAAATAAGTAGCTACCATTTGCAAAAGCGAATTGCCAATTGAATTTAATTAATTAGCATTATCTTATTTAAAACTATGGCGAGCGCTTGCAAAACGCAGAAACGCACACACAAATCCATTAAAATGACAGCAAACGGGTTGTCTACAATTATTGGATGCTGACAAGATTTTCCACCAATTTTCGAATCATATGAATTATATAATCGAGGCGCCACGTTGTGAAAATTTCATTACAAATGATTGATAGGCAAGTGAAGTGACTTCAAAATTATTAACGAAAACAACAACAGCAAACAAATGAAAATGGCAGGGAAGCCGAAGTTTTCTGTAATTTAAGCCTCTCGTTGCTCAACTTGTCTGTGTAAGTGTGTGTGTGTGTGTGTGTGTGCGTCGGCTATTCAATTACTTCTTATTACGAAAAAATGTAAAAAGGGAGCAGCAAATTGCTCGTATACGCGTATGCATGTGCACTCATAATTACAGTTACAATGAATCACAACAACAAAATAAAACAGTCTTCAAAGACAATGCAAAATGCAATGCAAAAAGCAAAGCAGAGCAGAGCAGAGTCGAATCGAATTTCAGTGTTTATATTAAAATTTCCGCCTTATTAATTTCTGTTGTTGTTGTTGCTGACGCACACACATAGTTCAACACACACAATGAATGAGTGAATGAACGAATGAAGAATGGTATGCCGGCATTAAAATGAGTGTGAGACTGAGAGTCTGTTGAGTTGGGAGTGCGACCCTTAAATTGGCATCCCAATGGGTTTGCCACAGAATAGAGAAATTTACAGCAAT